GGGCAACCAAAGCCCATTATTAAATTTTCTTGCAGAAGCCCATTAATAAAGTGTTTGTAATTATATAGCCTGATTAAATTTTGTTAATAGCCTGATTATTATTAATTAACTTTTCTTGAAGAAAGCTACGTCAATCTTCTAGCCAGATTAAATTGCTAGCGACCACGAGAGAAGAAGTTTAGTGCTAAACGAATCATAGAGCTCTCGTTAAAAATACTTATCTTCTCAATTTCATTTAGTATAAAAACTCCAATATTTGAAAAATAAAGCATAATTAAACTATATATAAAGAATTGTAAAAATTGGGCAATAAAGTTTAATGAGGAGGGCAAGAAAAAAAATTTCATTGGATGCAAATAATTTAATTTCTCCTAAATCTCAAAAATTGTAAAAAAAAAAAATTAACAACATAAATCCGGCCCTTCCACAGGAGATGTGACCATGTGTCCTAAAATACTGTCTAATTGCGTGACAAGACTGATCATGGAAGCCAGCAGAGAGATATAGAAACAACACACTATCAATGTTCTTGTCTTGTTATGTTTGCTTCAAATAAGCAAATTAAGTTTATTATGCTTTGAAAAAACAGGGATTCATAAGTGTCACTAATTTTGGTGCAATTGGCGATGGACAAACGGACGATTCACATGTACATATTTACATATAAATCGTTCGTTTTCCATCGCTACCAGGGTGACACTTACGAGGTTTTTCTTCAAAGCTTAAATCCTAAAACCTAATTTGCTTATTTGAAACAACATAACAAGAGGAAGAACAACGAAGACTTCATCACCTTTGGTCGACCCGTGTAATATTTATTTTGATAATAATGAGGATACATCTCAAGGAGAATATATATACGTATATATAGGTTTGAATAAAGAAACCCTAGAGCGATCTAATATTGGGCTAAAAGTAGTGTGGTAGTAAAATAAACACAGCCCAGTAAAAGATAACATGTGGCCCAAATTGCTTCTTCTCGCCCTTCCCAAGGTCTCTCTCTCGTCAAAAAGATTTCTTTATCTTCTCAATTTCATTTATATTTTGGACAATTTGCCATAATGTTATTGTATAAGATAAGATGCATCGGTTTAATACATCCATGTAATATACTCCAAAGTTAAGAGTCAACACTCATGATATGCATCAATGCATTCAAAGACATACTTGTCCGACCAAAGTAAAGTCATCAAAGTAAGTTTGGTTGTCGATAAAGTTGAACCACTCGTTGTACTCCTCATCATTATTAGGGCTAAACGTAGGGGTAGGCGAGCTTGATTCAACCAGTTGTGTCCACAAGTCAAATTCTTGGTTTGTTTCTTCTACTCCGCATGGAATATTATCCGGTTGATGAGGATGATCAAATGATTGCTCGTTGGTTACCTCTTGAGTCGCTCCGCATGTATTGTGAAACTCGGTTGAAATTATGTGATCAATCTGGTGGTGATATTGAGGAAATGATTCTAGTGGTTGTTCTTGAAATAACATGTCATCTGTTTCAAGAAACGTGGAGGTAATATCATCGAAGTCTTCATGCTCGAGAAGGAGTTCGATGTCGTGGAGTTCATTAACCTCATGAAGCTCTGGTTCTGTGTGCATACAATTTTCTTGGAGATGAGATGAAAAAGGTGAGTCTTCTTGGCACGAATGCCTTTCTTCTTGAAGTTCAGTGTCACAGTTCTTGTCATCATCATGGTCAGTGCAAGAGATAGATGAAGAAGAAGAGGACGGTGATGAATTGGGAGAGAGTCGTTTCTTTAGATGAGTGTTCCACACGTTCTTGATCTCGTTGTCCGTTCTTCCAGGCAAGAATGATGCTATCTTAGACCACCTGATCAAATTACACCCATAAATACCAATTAAGCTCTACGTACTACTATATATCAATTATCTTGTCACAAAGATATATGGTAGATTGGTAGGCAACAATACATTACTTGTTGCCAAGGGTTTTATGGAAGTGGATGATGGCATCTTCCTCCTCTTCGGTGAAGTTGCCTCGCTTCACGTCCGGTCTCAAATAGTTTATCCATCTCAGTCGGCAACTCTTGCCACATCTCATCAATCCTATCATTTATTCATTCAATTATCAACACTCCCAACTAGCTAATACTAT